CCCTGTCCACGTTCCTCCGGGACCCGGTGTCCGGTCTTTTCACACTGGACACGGTGACCCCCCCGGCTCGGACCCCCCCTCAGGTGGCTGCATCTCCCCCGGTTGCTGCTGCCTGCTCTTGTCGGTCTCTCACCCACCCGACTCTTCTCTGGCACCACCGCCTAGGTCACACTGCGCTCCCGCGTCTGCGTCACATGTCACAGCACGGTCTCGTCCTAGGCCTCCCCGGGTCGTTCCCCGAGTTTCCCTCCTCCCCAGCCCCACCTTGCATGCCCTATGTCGAGGGCCGGCTCCGCCGTGCCCCTCACTCCTCGTTTCCACCGCAGCACCGCTACAGACTCTGCACATGGACGTCTAGCGTCCCGCCCCCTTTCATGGGCCGCGTCGAGAGCGCTACTTCCTAGTGCTTGTCGACGATTACACGCGCTACACCATGGTGTTTCCCCTGGAGCGGAAGGCCAACGTTCCTGACGTTCTCATCCCGTGGCTTGTCTCTGCGCGTGTCCACCGCGGTCTCCCTGTCTTGCGTCTCCACTCTGGCCGTGGTGGCGAGTTTCCCTTTGGTGTCCTTGGTCGATTCTGTCGTCCGGAGGGCATCACACAGACGTTCACCTTGCCGGACTCCTCGCAGCAAAATGGGTCGCTGAGCGACGCATCAGTTTGGTCATGGAGGTGGCTCGCACCTCCATGATCCATGCCGGTGCACCCCATTTTCTGTGGCCGTTCGCCATTCGCTACGCCGCTCACATGCTTAACCTGTGGCCGCACCCCCAGCAGCCTCCGGTTTCGCCGACCCTTCTTTGGTCTGGGTCCCCTGGCGACGCGTCTGCGTTTCGCGTCTGGGGCTGCCTTGCTCACGTTCGTGCCTCTGGCACGGACAAGCTCACTGCCCGCACCGTGCCCTCTGTCTTCCTCGGCTTCCCCCTTGACGCGTCTGACTGGCACTTCTACCACCCGCCATCTCACCGGTTCTTTCATTCCCGCGACGTCACCTTTGACGAGTCCGTCTCCTTCTTCCGCCGCTTCCCCCACCGAGGTCCCCCGGTTACCCCCCCCCCTGTTCCTGGTCACCCCTTCCCCGGTTGTCGCCGCCCCACCCCACTTCCGTCGGTTGTCCCGGTTGAGGAGTCTGCTGACTGTAGTGGTCCTGCGGCGCAGTCCTCGCTGCCTGCCCCTTCTCAGGTGTCTCCTCCGCCGCCTCCGCAGCCGCCGTCGCCACCGCTGTCGCAGCCATTGTCCTCGCCGCCGCTGCCGCCGCCACCGCAGTTCGTTGCCTCTGGGGGTGCTGGAGTTGGGGTGGGTACTAGTCCTGGGACTCCTGTCGTGGCTTGTCCTAGCGGGCCTGGGGGTGGTACCGGTGCTCGAGGGGCTCTGAGCTCTGGGGGTGTTTCCTCTGGGGGTGCTGGCGTAGCGTGTTCTGGAGGTCGCCGCCAGGCAGCATGCGGTCCCGGTGTTGGTGTCACACCGCCGCCGCAGCAGTCCCCGCTGGTGTCTGCTCTTCGCCTGCTCGGCCTTCCGTCCCTTGACCCCGTGCCTGTGCCTCCTTCTGTCTACGGCCCTGTATTCCCTTCTCCGGACTTGTCTCCGGCTCGTTTTCCCCCCTCGTTCCCCTCTTGTGTCCCCATCTCTGTCTCCTGACCCGACTCCTCCGTCTCACGTCTGGTCTCGCCGCCCCTCCCGTGCTCGACCTGTCTCCCCTGTCTCGCGCTCTCACCCTATGTTGCTACGTTCCCACGCGTCTCGTCCTCCCCTTCTCCCATCACCCCCTCCGTCCTCCCTTGTCGTTGCTCCCCCCCCTCTGTCTGACTACCTGCGTGCCGCTCGTCCTCTTATTCCTCGGGTCCTTGCCTCTCTCGTTACCGACCCATCTGTTCCGGTTTCGAGTCTTGATGCCCTTGTAGCTGCGGTCGCTGACTTTGCCTCTACCCGCCGCCTTGACTACGCCACCGCTCTGGTCTTTGACCCTGCCAGTCCAACGTCTGTCGGGGGTGCTCCTGCCCTCGGCAGTGACGTCCTGGAGGACCGCCAGTACGAGCTTGCTTTCCTGTCTGAGGCTGCTCCCCATCTCTGCTCTATGCTTCTTGTCCCTGAGGGTGACCCCGACGCTTTCGACATCCCGACCCCTCGCACTTACGCTGGAGCTACGAGCAACTACCGGACCTGAGGAGGGTTCAGCAAGCGTGACAGGGGCGGCAAGAGGCATGAGCAAAGTGTGGTCACGGAAGAAGCAGGCAGACGCTCCAGAGTTGAGCGTGATGGAGAGCGAAGCGGTAGCGTCTGCCGGCGGAGGGGCTAGCGTGGAGCCTAGGCTAAACAAGGCAGGGGGTCCTACGCCTGACGTAGCAGGGGAACCTAGACTACATACAAGGGACACACCTATGTCGGGCAACAATGAATAATAGGGTCCAATCACACTAGAGTCATCAGTTTACATGGCATACAAAGCAGACTTAATCTGATCCATGTCCATCTCAAAGACAGGCACACGACGGCGCACCAGGCTGTGCCTATCGGGGGGTTCCAACGTGGGGCCGAAGCAGAGACGGAAGAGGTCGTCGAGATGGCGGTAGCAGTGTGTGGCGGTGTGACCAGGGCGGTCACAGACGGTGCCACGGCAAGGGCCAGACTGAAGCTGGTACTGGTAGGTGACCACACTAAAGCCGCCAACCGACACCAAGCTGCGCCCCCCACCACCACCAGAACCGCCAATCCACCACGGCGGCGAGGGCGCCCATGGCGACTATTGCTGCTCCTGCGACGACTGCTACTGCTACTCAGGCTGCTGCTGAGGAGGCTGCAGCTCTGGGGGGAAAAGACACAAGGTTAGGGAAGAGCAGGGGGAGGAGGAAACGACCGGCAGAGGCGGAGGAGGGAGTAGAATAGCGTGCAATAACAACATCTAAGTACGCCTGCGCAGTCTCTAGGGCCTGGTAGTGGGGGCGCTCAGACAGGGAGAGGGCGCGACTGATAGCAAGTTGCGCAACTGCATCACGCGACTCCCAGACGGAGCGAGCGAGCTCAGCAGCTGCAAAGGCCTTACGCTCAGCGGGCGTGTGGGCGTCAGAGAGGGCAGCATGCGGTTCAGGGCAGGGGATCTTACCGTCGACGTGAACGGCCAGAGACTGGCCATCCTGGCGCTGTCCCCTCAACAAGCGGAGGAGGTCGGCGAGCCATGCCTCAAAGTCGATCGCCCAACCCTCTGCGTCCAGGCAAAGCACATCGTCCACTGTCGCCATAGTTGTAGCAGCTGACCGCCGCTAGAGGAAGAGGAAGAGAGGGCGGTGGAGACGGCCGACGAGAGAGCCGGCACAGAAGGGGGAACCAAGGCCGGCAGGTCGGGGCGGCACAGCAGCACTGCGGCTCGGCGACTCGGCAACTCAGCGACGCGGCGATCGGCTATTCGGCGGCTCGGCCGCACGACGGCACGGCTATTCGGCGGCTCGGCGGGTCGGCTACGCGGCGGCTCTGCGGCTCAGCGGCACGGCGGTGCGGCGCGACGCGGCGCGGCGGCGCAGCGGCTCGGATGCGCGGCTCAGCGATTCCCCGACGCAGCGGCTCGGCTGCGTAGCGCAGCGCTCAGCAGCTCGGCACGGCGCCGTATGGCAGGACCGGCGCGGCGTGACGGGGCCGGCGAGGAGGGACAAGGACGACACGGCAGGCAGACACCGTCCTCAGAACTGATCTGCCGCTTAAAGGGTTTTGCGTTATCTTGCAAGTACATCGGGCATGGGGTTAGTGCTAGGAGGACGCGGGGCAGTGGTCCTTACTGGACACACAGAAGCTTCTTGGGCAGACAACGCCGAGACCCTCAGGTCCTCGTAGGGCTACTGCTTCAGACTTGGTCCAGGTACCGTTTCGTGGAGAGCTATCCGCTCCTCGTCTGTTGCCCAGTCCAGCTGTGAGGCCGAGATCTACGCTGGTGCCATGGCGGCACAGGAGCTCTGCTGGCTGACCTTCTTGCTCATTGACTTAGGTGAGCGGCCTAGCTCTGCCCCGGTCCTGTACACTGACAACAGGGCCATGATCCTCATGTGTCAGGAGCCTCGACTCGAGGGCAGAGCGAAGCACATCCAGCTGCGGTACTTCCTCCTGCGTGAGCTCCAGCAGCGCCGCCAGGCGCGCGTTGTACACTTGTCCTCCGGTGCCAACACAGCTGATATCTTTACGAAGGCGCTTGCGCTTAAAGACCATCAGCGACACTGTGTACAGCTAGGTCTCGTTCCTGTAGCCTCTCACTTGCTAGGGCCTTGACTTTGTACTGTCCTTTATATATATATTTTACCCTGACTGGCCTTGTGGCCTCTCCCAGTGGCTGGACTAGTAGTGCCGCCCTGGTCTTGCTCTTGCCTTGTCTGTACTCCTTGTGACTGGTCTTTAGACCCTTGTCTCAGAGGCTGGACTAGTAGTGCCGCCCTGAGCTGCTTCTTCCCTTGTTAGGCACTGCCCCTATATAGTCTAGGGGGTGTGTCAAACATAACTTATGCAGTTACTGTAGACTATATGTGTTTGTACCTTAGTGAGTACAACTCACCAATCTATATTGCCTTGTATCTCCCCATTCTAGTCATTATTCTTTCTGATACCCTGTACAGTCGATAATAACGTACAAAGATATGTTTGACAGTACTCTCCTATAAGAGTTCGCACCTATCTAGCCTCTAGCAATATATAAATATATGTTTGACACGGCATCCTAAGGCAAGCGGCCCGCAGCCACAGGAGTCCATAAGGGGCCGGCGACTGTGTGAACAGAGTGGAGGGTGACAAGTGCTGGATGCTGAGCAGGCCTGCGCACAGGTGATGGCAGAATATGAACACCCAGGGCAACAACACCTGTAGAGTTGCCATTGCCCAAGCAGGTGGGGGGGGCTCACAACAGCTGTTCCAGTGAGTGAAGCGGACGCGAGAATGCGCGGAAACGGGTCACCCAATTTGACAGCAGTTAGTTTCAGGATGATTCTTGGATTTTCCCTTGGTACAGATTGGAAGCAAACAAACCTTGTACAGCCACTTCATACAAACATAGGCAAGTTCTCATCAAGCCACATACCATAGCTATCCTAAAGTCAAGATGCAAACAGACTGACTATGGCAGTGGTACATATAGCATAGCGTATAATTAGCTTTTAAAAGTACAAAACAAGTCTAACGCCAAATGCAGCTGTGGAGGCAACTTTTATTCAGTGGGCTGATTCCCGTATCATTTTCCTGTAAGGGCCTGGGCGGACGCCCAAGCGCTTGCTCTAGCAACTGAACATGGGCAGGATATTGGGGAAGCCCTTGACGAATCCGCCACCAACAAGGCCGCCAGACTTCTTGCTGGACTTGGTGAGAACAGCAGTGTAGTAGTCCGACACCACACCCTTATCCACGGCCTGGAGCACCTCCAGAATGCTGCCGCTGCCGCCACGTGGCGTCATTTTCTCGATGGCGCTGAGCTTGAAGTCCAGCTTGTAGCTGCCACCGCCGCCGCTCCACGGCTTGTTGATCCACCACGACACGCCCGTGTTGCTGCCGAACTTGCCCTTGCCGACCACGATGCCCAACGGGGGCTCGGGGAAATTGCTCAAATCCGCGGTCACCGAGAGGTCGAACGACTCGTCCGAGTCGCCCCTGCGAAAGAGAAATCCGCGAAAGAAAGGCGTGAGAAAAATGTGCGGACGGAAAGGGAGGGAGGGACGAGCAAACTTGCTTGTAAGACAGGAGCGGAGGCGGAGAACGAGCGCGTAAGGAACGAGGCTCGGCGCGGAATGGCCTACTTGTATTCCTTGAAGATGAGTCTACCGGTAGGCAGAGACTTGGTGGACTTGCCGCCCTTCTTCGCCTGCGTCTGCTGCTTGTCCGACAAGTCCCAGTTCGAGTACAGCACGCCTGCGACAACGCGCGACAGCGTGCGACGCCATGCGACAAGGAGGGGAAACACGCATTCGTGAGTACGACGGAACGGCGAGCGGAAGGGAGCTGGCCATGACACATCGGCGAGTAAATTTTGAGGCGAGTAGATTCAGCGAAGAGCTGCGTCAGAGACAAGTTGATTCAAAGCGACGGCACTCACATTTCGGTCGGGCGGCGAGAGTGAGGAGCGCGGAAGCGAAGAGCAGCCCGAGGACGAGCGCGCCTGGAGGGGGGAGAGGGCGGGGAGGGGCGCACAGAGATGACTACGGGTACTGACGGGCGGACCTATGACGGCAGAGCGATAGGTCGGGGAAGGAGGATCGAGAATAGGAGCAAAACGAGACCGAGGACGAACTCCTGATCCTCGCTGGTGCGTCACAGTGAACGAGATGCCGTTGACAGGGCGGCTGACGAGCGGAAAGGAGTTTCAGTCATGATCGAGGGAATTGGTCACGAGATCGAGGGACTGACGCACCTCGTGAAGAGACGGTGGGAGCCATGCGATCGATTAGACTCAGGTGTGCACAGGATGGATCTCCTGGCGAGCTCTGAAGAGGTAAGGAGAACTGGAACGGCGAAGGAACGGATGGTAAGGATGGCTTAGACTTCGGCAAAGGAGTCGCTTTTATACCGTTTGCTGCTCATCGACGCGTGCTCAATGCGACCTTCCCCCTCGACGCGCGTGCTCACGGCGCCGAGCGAAGGGGGGCTAGCCGGGTTCGAAAGCAAGGCACCCGCGCTGCATTGCAAGAAGTGCATGTGGGTTCAAGCTCGACATGGGAGGAGCTGCGGTTCGAAGTGTAGTGGAGTGGAGAGTGGAAGGAATCGCAATGGAGTGATGGGGTGATGCATCTGGGGCAGGGGCGAGGGGGGGGGGGGGAGTTGGGGAGGGAAGGGGGGTGGGTTGGTGGCATTTCTGTGCTCCGTGCGCGAATGTTCGTGCCCCAAATTCGCTCACATGGATGCAGGGCATCTCGCGACGTGGGAGAATCCGAAGCGCGGCACAAGAAAGGGGACAAGTCAAGGCACCAGACAATTGGGGCAACATCAACTACACTCAAATGATGCCAGAAGCTATATTAATTTGTAATGAGACTAATGATATATTTCATGTGAAGAACTCAAAACCCCACAGGGAATGTGGTTGTCATTCTGAGTTTGAATCGTTTCGAGCAGAAAAAAAAAAGATGTGATTCGCCTGAGTACAAATGAATACTGGAAACTCCTAGATAGAAGACTGAATAGAGCTACAGCTTGTAATTAGAGTGTTTCTTTATATCACGATCATGCGTTTGTTGTTAAAATTATATATTTAGTTATATAATTGTTAGGCTTGGTAGGTTACCGAACTTTACTGTAGAGGGTACAATCCCCTCCTTCTATGCGTCTCTTTCTATTCCAACTCTCTTTTCTCTCCTCAACTTTTCTCCTTCCTAAACCTCACGCCACTCCTTGGCTCCTTCTAGCTAAACCTCATGCCTTGACTAGCTTTCTAGCTAAGCTAGCCTTCTAACATGGTACTAGAGCAGGAGTTCCTCCCTGCTGGACCACCTCCTCACGCTTCCGCCGCGTACTCCTTGCCCTAGTTCGCCCGCGCGGCCACGGCGTCTGCGTTTTGCTGCAGTGGCGGCGTCGTGCTGCTGCCGTCTCGACGCGCTGCCGTGGCGTCGGGCCGTCGTGCTGCCGTCGCCGCGTCGACGTCCCGCAGCGGCGTCGACGCCGCTCTCTGACGGCGGCGTCGGGCTGCAACCGGCCGCGCGACGCCTGTGGCGCCGCGCTGAAGATCCGAAGCCCCGACCCTTCCTCCTTTCCTCTGTCCCCTCCTCTTCGCCACAGCCGCCGCCTGACTCTCGTCGGCCGTCCCCCTGTCGCGGAGTTTGGACACGCCGCCGGAAGGGCGGGGGCCGCTGCACTCACCGGCGTCGTAAGCCGAAGCCGCCGCTGTCGTCGCCGCAGGCCTTTTGCCGCCGCACGCCCGTCGTCGCTGTCGCTGTCGCCGCGTTTGGGACTGCCGCGTCGCCATCTCCAAGGCCTTGTGGGCCCTGTTGGAGTCGTTGTGGCTGATGGGAATGGGGGTGCTAGGTTAGGGGGTGTGGGGGTGTGTATGGGGTTGTTGTTCAAATTATATAAGTTATAATTTAATATAGGCTTGGTAGGTTGTTACTGAACCTTTCTGTAGGGGGTACAAACCCCTCCTTGTACTCCCCTCTCTTCTAATCCAACACTTTTCTCTCCTCAACTTTCCTAGCACCTAAAACCTCTCGCCATTCTCATGGCTCCTCCTAGCTCCTAGCTAAACCTTGTGCCATTCTATGGCTTCCTAGCTAAGCTAGTTTCTGACATGGTATTAGAGCAGTTCGTTCCGCGTGGGCCTGCTCCTCGCGTTTCCGCTGCGTGCTCGTTTCTCTCTCTATCTCGCGCTGCCATGGCGGCCGCGTCAAGCTGCTGTGGCCGCGTCGTCGTGCCGCGGCGCCGCCGTCGACGTCCATGGCGCCCGCGTCCAGCTGCTGTGGCCGCGCCGTCGTGCCGCAGCTCCGCCGTCGCGTCAAGATGCTGTCGCGACGTGACGGCGCCGTCACGCTGCCGCGGCGTCTACGCGACAGCACGCGGTCGGCGTAGCGGCGACGTCGTGCTGCCGTCGCAACGTCGACGCCCCGCTGCGGCATCGACGCCGCTCCATGACGGCGTCGTCGGGCTGCAGCCGGCCGCGTGACGCTTGTGGCGCCGAGCCTAGGGGTTGTGTTAAAATTATATATTTAGTTATATAATTATTAGGCTTGGTACCAGGTTACCGAACTTTACTGTAAAAGGTACAATCCCCTCCTTGTATGCCTCTCTCTCTATTCCAACTCTCTTCTCTCTCCTCAACTTTTCTCATTCCTAAACCTCACGCCACTCCATGTCTCTGTCAAACATGTGTAGTTATCATGTTTGTATAGACTGTATAGGGTCACCTTCTAGAGAGTACAACATTTAGGTATATGTTTGTGTACTCTCTCTCTCACATTATTCAATTCTAGGTTTGATATGGTATCACGAGTAGGTTTCGACACCCCCCCCCCCCCCCCCCCCCCCCACCTACCGCTTCCGCTCCTCCCGTCGCGTCTCCTAGCCTCGCCTCGCCCCTCCTGAGCCCAGTCGCGACCCCTCCCCCTAGCCCCGTCGCGCCCCTTCCAGGGCCTCGTAGCGCCCCTCCAGGCCCCGTCGCGCCCCCCTTCCAGGGCTTCGTAACGCCCCTCCAGGCCCCCGTCGCGCCCCTCCAGGGCTCTGTAGCTCCCCTCCAGGGCCCCGTCGCGCCCCCCCTAGCGCCCCTCCTGGGCCCCGTAGCGCCCCTCCAGGGCCCCGTCGCGCCCCTTCGCGCCCCTCCTGGGCCCCGTAGCGCCCCTCCAGGGCCCCGTCGCGCCCCTTAGCGCCCCTCCTGGGCCCCGTCGCGCTCCTCACAGGCCCCGTAGCGCCCCGTAGCGCCCCTCCTGGGCCTCGTCGCGCCCCTCCTGGGCTTCGTAGCGCCCCTCCTGGGCTTCGTAACGCCCCTCCCAGGCCCCGTCGCGCCCCTCCTGGGCTCCGTAGCGCCCCTACTGGGACCCGTCGCGCCCTCCCTGGGCCCTGTAGCGCCCCTCCTGGGCCCCGTCGTGCCCCTCCCAGGCCCCGTCGCGCCCCTCCTAGGCCCGTAGTGCCCCTCCTGGGCCCGTAGCGCCCCTCCTGGCCCCCCCCCCATTGCGCCCCTCCTGGGCCCCGCCGCGCCCCTCCTGGGCCCCCATTGCGCCCCTCCTGGGCCCGTAGCGCCCCTCCTGGGCCTGTTGCGCCCCTCCTGGGCCCTGCCGCGCTCCTCCCTGGGCCCCGTATCCACCCTCCTGGGCCCCGTCGCCCCTGCTCGGCCCCGTCGCCCCTGCTCGGCACTGTCGCGGCCTCTCGGCCCCGTGGCGCCCGCCCTGCCCCTGTCGCAGCTGCCCGGCCCCTGTCGCACCTGCCCGGCCTCGTCGCGCCCGCCCGGCCCCGTCGCCCCCGCCCGGCCCTGCTGTGTCCTGCCCGGCCCCGTCGCTGCCGCCCGGCCCTGTCGCTGCCGCCCGGCCTCGTAGCTGCCGCCCGGCCCTGTCGCTGCCGCCCGGCCTCGTAGCTGCCGCCCGGCCCCGTCGCAGCCGCCCGGCCCCGTCGCAGCCGCCCGGCCCCGTCACAGCCGCCCGGCCCCGTCGCAGCCGCCCGGCCTCGTAGCTGCCGCCCGGCCTTGTCGCTGCCGCCCGGCCCCGTCGCAGCCGCCCGGCCCCGTCGCAGCCGCCCGGCCCCGTCGCGCCTGCCCGGCCCCGTCGCGCCTGCCCGGCCTCGACGTGCCTGCCCGGCCCCGTCGCGCCTGCCCGGCCCCGTCGCGCCTGCCCCGGCCCTCCATACTTCCTGGTACTGTCCCCCGTTCCCCGCACCACTTTGCACCCTTCTGCACTTTCCTGCCCCGCCTTGCACCGCATTGCACCTCACTGAACCGCACTGACCGCACTGCACCGCACTGAACCGCCCTGCACCGCACTGCACCGCACTGGACCGCACTGCACCGCCCTGCACCGCACTGCACAGCACTACACCGCACTCCACTGTCCTCCACTGCCCCTCATGGCTGCTGAGCTTCGTTTTGATGCTGAGGGTCAGCCTCTGGAGTTCGAGGCGTGGTTGGCTGACCTTCGCCGCCACCTCACTGGTCAGCGGCAGGACGGCCACCCGCTTTCTGCACACCTAGACGGTATGCTCCCCTGCCCTGACCCCCCTGCTGTGCTGCCTGCTGATCCCACGCCCGCTGAGCGCGAGTCCACTGCCGCCGCTGCCCTTGCCCGCTCTGTCTGGCTTTCCCGCGATGCCCTTGCTCAGCTCGCCATTAGCAATGCCCTCCCCCCCCTTGAGCGCCCTCGCTTTAGAACCATTACTACCGCCCAGGCCTACCTCGATGCTGTCATCAAGCGCTATTCTACCCCTCCTGCTGCCTCAGTGGGTCGCCTGATCCTCCCCCTGCTCTTTCCTGACCTGGCGTCCTTCCCCACTGTCTCTGACCTCGCTGCCCTCCTGCGCTCGATAGATGAGGCCTGGCGCGCTGCCTGCACTGATGCACAGCTTAGAGTCCACCAGCCTCCCATGACCTCTACCCTCTACCTCCTTGCCACCCGCCTCCCTGACCGCCTTGCCGCCGCCCGCGACCAGTTCCTTAGCATCCACCCTGCTGCTCTCACCCTCACCGACTTTGTTGACACCCTGACTGCCATAGAGACTCGTCACCGCTCCATAGCCCAGGCGAGCGGTACAGTACCGGTCCCTATCTTTCAGGGTTGTGCCCCCGCTCAGTGTACCTTCTCCGACGGCTCTGTCGCTGTGGCTGAGACTGCTGCTGCAGTGCAGTCCCGCTCGGGGAAGGGCCGCCGCCCCAAGGTTGGGAGCGGCGGAGGTAGCGGGGGTGCGGGTGGGGGTAGTGGTGGAGGCGGGTCGTCCGGTGCCGGTGCGGACGTGGGGACCCTGCCCGGTCCAGCTGCCCCGCTGCCTCCACCGTTGCAGCAGCCGCAGCAGCAGCAGCCTCCGCAGCAGCCGCAGCAGCCGCCGCAGACGAGGCCGGCGAGTG